TATACACCTAGGATGCCTCGGGGGTGAGTAAAACGCAGCCTAATTTTCATTTTTGGGTGAACTAACCCTTTAACTCCAGTTTAATACCACAAAATAACAGACATAAAAACATTTAGACACGTAAAGCATCAACACAAACATGTATTTAGCACACTTCCCAAAAACATCTTTGCACTTTGAGATGCTGCGAGAGTAGACGACAATATGGGAACTACGCCAGCTTGACCAATTGTCTGAAGCCTGCACTCTAAAAAATGCTGTGTTGTTTTTTCAACCCAAATGCTGGATTGAGCCTGCTGGGTAAGGACGCTGGGTTGGTTTAACCCAATTTTAGGTTGAAAATTGGTCTTGATCTATAACCCAGCGGTGCTGACGTGAACGCGGACGTGAAAGAGAGCAGGCACGTCACGTTAACATCGGACGACACCAGTGCGAGAAGCCGCCATTTTCTCAGCGTCTTCAGATGGAAGCGAGTGAAAGACGTTTATGGTAAGTAAAGATTAAAAATGTAAATTCATCATTCATTGTTTGTGTCTGGGAGTATTTTGAGATTGCATGGAACGCGGAAATAGTCCGAAAAGAGCATATATTGAAAAATACACGGACACGGTTTTTACCTCAGAAATAGTCTCAACGGCCTCTTTTACTGAACGGAAGAGATACTTTTAATATAACGTCAGTGAGTGTCTTCTGTCATATTTACATAAGATTTTACAATATTTACACTTTGTGAGGTGTTAATAGAGGGTTATTAACAGATTTACATGTTAATTCTTTATCATCTTTTTCGCGGTTAAACTGAATGTACGTTAGTTTCCTAAAGGAAACAGCGTTATGTATAGTCTAGCCTAATTATTTTGATGCTGATGAAGTGTTGATTGTTAAAAGTAATGTTTTGCATGTAATATTTCAGACTTGTTAAGCTTTGTCTTTTCATTGTGCCCGTGCCGGGAGTTAACGACACAGAAGCCAGCTTGTATGAGGAGGAGGTGATTTTCTCAGCTTCTTCAGAAGAGAGGGAAAGACGGTTAAGGCAAGTAAAGTTCATAATTTCATGTTATCAATTTTTATTTTATTTTATTTTTATTGTTTATTTTATTTGCTTGCCAAAACCCTTTAAATGAAGAACAAATGTAGACAGCATACAGTAATTCTATCAAGCTGTGTCAGCAGGCAAAATGTTTTATTATTTGTTTACTACAATGGTGTTTTTGACATATTAATTATTTATTAATTGATTCCATTAATATTTAAGTAAAAAAGGCGTAATAATGGAACAAGAGTTTATTTTTCACTATTATTTACAACAGGATCTACCTTTTAATGTGAACATCGAATGCTGGTGTGTTTTGGCGTTTATGTGATCAGTGTACAGTATAATTGTAATTACAGGTTTTATACTCATTTAGCTACAGGCACGCTAACAATGGTTAGGCCTATGTGTTTGGCCACTGTGGTAAAACCATGGTAAGTCTGCGTAATATGCTTGTAGTTCTGGCGACAGATATTAGGCTACACAAGACGAAAGTAACAGTGCTATTAAGCGTGTATGAAGCTTTGTCTCTGTGGTCTTCTGATTATTAACCATTAATTCAGTTTACATGTCAAATGTATATTTTGCTATTATTATTTAATTGCTTACACATGCTCATTATTATTTTCAGACAGCATCTCAGCAGGGTCCCAGTTCTCCAGAGTTTCCCTTCACATCTACACTTCTTGAAGTTGGATGTCAGGTAGACCCTACATTTTTAGGTATTTTAGGTATTCAGGCAACAGCGTCTTGTCATGATGTTGGCTCTGAAACAACTGTTATGTTGCCAGATGTCTTCAACACCATTAAAGGGCTCAATCTTTAGGCCAAGCAAGCGACCTCGTCTTTTGTTAGAGGAGGAGGAAGACACAGAATCAGAATTAGATGTACTCCATCTGGACATGACTCCACATATACCCCCGAGTCTGTGGTCACTGAGGAATCTCAATTGTCGTAAGTTATGAATACATATTGACAACTTTGTAGTAAAGAATACGAGTTGAAAGAAACGATGACATGAATGCAATTTCCTAATATTTATTATTTTTTGGTTCATTTAGGATAGATACACAATCCAACTACACCGACAACAAATACATTGTATTTGAAAGCTGCCTTAAAGAGTTGTTTGGTTCGTGTGCAGTTTGTAAAACGAAGTGTGCCATCCAGAGCAGACAAATGGGGACTTTTATTGCATTCACGCAGCAATGTGAAAAGTGTAACTTCCACCGACAGTGGCAGAGCCAGCCCATTTTAGGGAGTACCCCAGTAGGAAACCTGCTGTTGTCTGCAGCTACATATTTTACGGGTGGATCATTCTTTCAAATACAGAAGGTATTTAAAACCTTGTTCAAGAAAATGTTACACTACATTCTTATTTTTATGGGCTCTTTCTGTTAGAGCGGAGTAAACAGCAGATTTCTGTTCCAGATACCGCTCAACCATCTCATAGCTGGAGTTCCAGCGTGTGGGCACGGCGTGTATTAAACAATGTTTTGGCAAGTTAAGCATCATCTGCTTTGTCTCCAATATATGGGCAGCCACTGAGCTGCGGTGGAAAAAGCCAACATTTTTTCTGATTTTTCCCAGCAGTCAAGATACCTGGCTGACAGCCATTCCTTTCTGTGATGCCGACTTCAATGAATGGGCAAAGCATCCAATATGTGGACCCAATCCTGCATCACTGACAGCATTAACAATGTTTCTTGCATTGTCAGTGGTCACTGCAACAGGCTTAAGCTTCGTACACACCGGGACGATTATCGCGCGTGCTTATCGCCAACGTTTTTCGATGCGTCTTTTGTGTTCATACCCAAGCAATTTTCGCAGGCGATGAGCCTGAGTGTGCAAATTCACTCCCAGACATTAGATGGCACTTAATGAAAAACAGAAATACCCCGGTACACATCGAATCCTATTTGATCTGCAGTTCCTCTCCAGAAAAACTTCCTCTTATAGAGATTTTTGTATTCGCTGTCGCGTTTGTCATAAAGCCCTTTGTGTTCAGACACCAATGAGACCAGCAGCTCTACATTCATCTTGCCTCGATGCATCTTCTTGGTCTACTTACTTCCTCTTTGTCGTTAGACATCAATGTGTGCTCGGCAAGACCATTTTGTGCTTGAGCACCACCAAGTCGTGTTTTACTGTAACTTCAGCAGCTCCAGGGACGTTAACAAAAGCACCAATCTCATTGGTCGGCCAGTTTTTAACGCGGTGCAAACCAAACCAAAAAAAAACAAAAACCCGAGCCGGAGGCGTTTTTTTAAAAATGACGCTTTTACGCCTTGCGCGTCGGTGTGCACACTCACATTGGCGCCATTTGTTTAGTCACGAGGCGTTAAACTTTGGCGATAATCGCGCGCGATATTCGTCCCCGTGTATAAACAAGCCTTTAAGTTTCCACTCTGCTACTGCCGCTTGGAGCTTCTCAGCTATTTTAACTTATGTGTACCTAACAACAGAGCAACGAAGTCGGTGGAAGTTACAAGATGTAATTTAAATTGTACAACAAAAGGTAGATTGTTTCTCAGTAATTACATAAAACAAAAGAGTGACTTGGTATTTTGTCTTATTAATAGGCTACGTGGATGACCTCATGAGCCTTCTGCTAGATGGTCTTTTTGGACCCCGTGCCATATGTGGAAGAGCTGCAGTCAATCCCAATTCCACCAACTCCGTCATCCCAATTTGAGAAACCCTCGAAGAAAGACGTGATTGCCCGCCATGCATCACGATTTAGTCAAGGGGAGGCCGGAACCCAACATACTGTCCTGCTGCATCAGGAAACTCCTGGGGCCCATTCTTCGTACGTCACTCTATAATACTATAGACAGCCAGTTTTACTCATTGAAAGATTTATTCCTGATTAAATAATACCTTTATAATTGTATTAGAGTCTTACACATATGCTGTACAGTTAATCCGAGTCGTGCATTAATTTGAGTGCTGACAGATATTATGGGAGTGGCTTGATGGAGTGCAGGAGATGCAGATAACATGAACTTCACCCTTAAGAAACTTTAATTAATGCGGTCACGTAATAAATCGGCTTCAAAGATAAAATTACATGAATTGCTAATTACAACATTGAACTAAAAATGTAAAGCCTGTACAAATACTAGAAATCGTGAATATAAATAATTGGGAATCATGTAAAAAAATATAAAATAAATAAAAAGAACATTTCATTTATCCATTATAACATTTATGTAGTTTTGTTCGCTTGGCTGTTTCCTTATAATTAAAAAAGACACCTGACGAAAAAACCTGACAAATTTCTGGACCTTTATATGACGTCATTACGTTGCTGTCTTGCCGCTAGCCAATCGTGGTTTCGAGTATCGATACTAGGGATGCTCCGATCCGCCTTTTTCCGATACCGATCCGATACCAGTGAAGTTTTTTTTTTTTTTTCCATTTAAATATAGAATTTATATATCTCTGTGTGTGGAACTGATAATCACTCTTTCACAATCTACTAAATACAGACTACTTCATTATAAAGAAAAATAAACAATAAATATGAAAAAATATATGTATATTCATAATATATGACAAAAATATATCAAACTAGGTTAGTGGATAATTCGGCAGCAAAAGCTATTCTAGAAAAATCAGTGCACAATAATTTTAGAAATCCAAACATTTAGTGAAAAAACTATAGTTTGTGGGGAACAAATAAAAGTGTTGCACTAAATATGGTAAAATGTTACACATTGCTATTTGTATTATAAAATCCATTAATGAAAAACATTCATAAATGTATTTATATATAAGTATATACTATAAAATTAAAATCCATTTCTTTTAAATGTATAGCATATTTTTAAATAAGGCAACAACATATGATAGATTCGATAGGACAAAACAAATACAGTGCGGCACGAAGCGCTTACAATATGCGCATCCGGTGTGCAGAATGATGCGCCTGAAGCAACATGGAGTCACAGCACGCAGCGCTTTGCATTAAAAAGTGCAACGCACAAAGGGAAGAGAAATTGATGCATAGTGTATTATATCTGTGCACCAGTCATTGGGCCTTTCTTTTAATGGTTTTAAATTTCAGTTACTGTGTGCGTTAAAAACAATTTATAGTCTTTTCTATGCCCGTGTTTTGTTCTCACAGACATCCGGTAGCAAGTACCAAAACAACATTAAACTCCGGCAAGAAGATAAAGTCCTTTGTGCAAAATCATAGACATTTATTTATTTTTATTATTACAATTATTGACTGTCGTAACCGAATGCGACCAGGGTTTAAAGGCTGAACGAATGACTGGCAGCCACAACGGAGAAAAGTTGAACCACTGATGGCAGATGGACTATTCTGGCTATGTCTTTCATAGTTTTCTGGACCTTGACAGTGTAATTTACTTGGCAGTCAATGGGACAGGCACAAGCCTCCCAGTTTTCATCCAAAATATCTTAAATTGTGTTCCGAAGACGAACGAAGCTTTTACGGGTTTGGAACGACATAAGTGTAAGTGATTGACAATTTTCATTTTGGGCTGGAGTAACCCTTTAAGCTATCGTATGGCTTCAGAAGTAACACCGAATAATACGCACAATCTCGGATATGGATTGGATACCCGATCCGACAAAAAAAATGGCAGTATCGGAGCCGATACCCGATATGAATATCGGATCGGCGCATCCCTAATCGATACATCTGCCCTTTTCGGGGAACACAAGAACGCGCAGTAATCTTAAACAACTTAATCCTGATATTTTAATCAAATCCACAAGTTCGTTTGAAGAACCAAATTAGCCAGAGATCAGTTATCACGATTACTAGATCTGGAATCTTTCAAATCATCTCAGATGTATTAAGCGAGGGACGAAGAACGGGCCCCTGGCGGCTCCGGCACACAACACAGGACGGGATGACAACCCTAACGTCACTAGGTAGCCCCAGCACCAGCTGACAAAGCTGCGATAGGACATATATAACGGAAAAACCTATGACAGGAAAGGACAACATATATCATCATTGTATATAAAACATTGCAAACATTTATATGGGGTGTGTATATATTTATTTTATTTTTCCTACAGAGTCTTTGGAATCGATTTTCAGTGTTTGCTACTTTATTTTATATTTTTGTATCTCTTTGGTTTTATGTACCCGATTTAAATTGTCAACAGTATAATTTCTTTACATTTAATAAAACTTACTCTTCCTCAGTTCTGCGCCTCACTGGTCCATAGTCCGCTCGGTATATGTTATTTATATTTTGTAACGTATATGGATTTAAGCAATTTGGTTCGTAACCAGGATGATGAACCATACATGTAGGAGGATCTGGAAGCTGCATCATTCGTTTTACAACCTAAACAGTAATGTATGACAATGACTATTTACTACGCAGTCAACTTACATTCATCCTTCATAATAAATCAATTATTATTGAAGCATAAGAAGAAAGGAATCAACATAAGTAAAAACACATTATGCAAACTACATTACCATCTGTGTTTCTTTGCAGCAGAGTTTTCAGCTTCTGTTGGCATTTTTTGCACAGTTCTTACACGTACACCTAAAAAGATTTTAATAAATAAAAAATCAGCTTGAGTGCACGTTTTGTTACCACACAAACACTTGTTACTGTTACAAAATACAACATTTCTCCACAAAACTGCTAAAACGCAATCATTTATTTTACTGTACTAAAGCTTTAAGGATAAAACCGTACACCAAAAGTTTACAAACAGCAGTACCATTTACAAATGACAGCATATCTAAAAAATATGAGACTACAAAACAAACTGAACTACAACTCAAAAAAAAAAAGAACAAACACATACCATTCTGAAACGTCCTGTAGGAGTCGTGCTTGCACAGGTTCAGGTCGATCCTCTTCAATATTTTCTGGGTCTGATTCGGGCTCAAACTGATACGGTAATACTGACGCCATTGTTTACAAAACGACGGGAGTGCATGCAACTCTCCGTTATGGTAAGAGGCGTGACGTTTCCGGACAACGTGCACTAGCCAATCAGCGAATCACAACACACTCGGCCAGCTAACTAATCAGAGCCCATTGCGAATTTCTGAGGGAGGGACTTCACAGAAGCAGGAAATCAACCGGCCGTTTTTATGCTAGCTGAAAAGCAGTGTACAATGAAGGTAAAATATGTGAAAAATAATGCGATTTTTAAAGAAATCGAAGCATGAACACATGTTGCTGTGCACCCCATAAACACAATCAAGCCTTCGAAAAAATCCATTAGACCACACCTTTAAATAAAAGATGTTTATTATAAGTACAATTAAACAACTCCTTGCATCAAAACCACTCCTTGCCTGGTAAAGAATTAACTTGATTTTCAAAAGTCAACAAATTTGCGACAGCTGACATTAACATGTTTGTCAAGCCAAACATCAGTTTCTGAGTAACATTTAATTTACTCAAGCCAAAAAATTTACTTTATTCCATAAAATAAGTATAAAGAACTACACAAAAAGCATTTTGAACGTCTCAAGCACGTCTTATATAATTACCCAAATATCAATCATAGTCCCCCCTCCCCTACGCACATTATCACATCCATCAGAAACTTAGGCTGGCTGTCAGCTGGAATAACAGAAATAAAAACATCGATATAACACACTCATGGACATCAAACAGATCACTGAATACTTGCCAGGTAAAAATTATTAACTTATGAACTATGTGTTTTCAAATCCACATCATTTGAATATCATTGATGTCGGTAAAAAAAAAAGTGCATGTAATACCTACTGTTAAAAGTACAATAATGACTGCCTACTCAGTGGCAGCGCCGACTGGCCAAATCGTGTGTTTCATGCTTGGTGACATATTTGAAAACATTCAATGTGAGCTAGTAGGGCTGTGCAAAGAATCTAATTTTAGTTTCACTTGTGACCAGTGTTGGGCAGTAGCGCATTACTTAGTAACACGTTACTGTAATTTGATTACTATTTTAGTAACGGAGTAATTTAACGCGTTATAATTGTGCTGCTGCGGGCGGGTAGACACTCGTGTGCGCGCGGGATGCGGGAGAATAAAATGATTCACGGGACTCCCGCATTATTCACAAGAGACGTGGTCAAAAAACACAGGCAGGGTCGAACAACAGCAAACAGGTATGGCACAGGCAAAACAAAGAATATTCCTTGGGCTAACGTGGGTCTACGATCGGCGAATAGTATCCAGAGGGCTTGACAAGAGGGGTAATCCAATAAACGAACAGACAGAGCAGAAGACCTCCAGAGCGGGACAGAAGACCACCAGGCTGGAGTAGATACCCCTGGCAGAGACTGGGATCTAGGGAAAAAAAATCAATCCCCATGGCTGGTTCAGAACAGTACGAGAGTTCAGAGATGGCCTCCTCGGCCGGTTCAGAGCAGGATAAAAGTTAATAAATGGCCTCCATAGCCTTGACAGGACAGGCAGAGAGTTCACAAATGGCTTCCATAGCCGTGACAGGACCGGCAAAGAGTTCACAGACGGCCCAAGGATAGGAGATACTAGGGACTGAGGGAGAGCCGGCGGAGCAGGGAGCCAGGGTGGAGCCGGCAGTACAGGTGGAGCTGAGGACCACCACAGCAGAGCAGACGGGACCAAAGATCCCCACGGCGGGGCAGAAGACCACCAGAGCAGAACAGAAGATCTCCACGGTGGAGCAGATGACCACCAGAGCAGGACAGAAGACCACCAGACCGAAGCAGAAGGAGTAGAAGACCACCAGAACAGAGCAGACAGAGCAGAAGACCTCCAGAGCGGGACAGAAGACCACCAGGCTGGAGTAGATACCCCTGGCAGAGACTGGGATCTAGGGAAAACTGAGACACACGAGCCAGACAGAGCATTTATGGCCTCAAGGGCCAAGGCAGGGAACACAAAAAGTCCATTAGCAGGCTCATTGACTGAAACTGAACAGACGGAAGGTTTAACAACAGACTCAACAGAAGCATTTAGACAGACAGACAGCTCAGATTTAGATTCCTTGACAGAGACATAGAGGGAAACTGGACTGGCTGGTAGTTCTTGGATGGTCTCTATGGCAGTGACAGGGTTGACGGGAAAGACATGGTGTGCATTAATAATCTCTGGGCTCATGACAGGCAGGGTTAAGGGTTCAAAGGCAGGTTTTTGGGCTGTGACAGACAGTTCACAATCAACCCCCATGGCTGGTTCAGAACAGGACG